ATTAAACGCATCGCTCACGTTGAAAAGAATTGAAATTACAACGAAATTACAAACCTCGACACTTTACCACGCCGAGCCTCGTAGTCTTTAAACATCGTCTTATTGCGCGCGCCATACGTTCTCATAGCACAGCCTGCCAAGACTTTAATATTCCAAGGGATTAATGGCCGATCGAATAGCGCTGGCCCGATCAAAGTCTCTCGAACCCTTCGCACTACAGTTGCAAATATTCGCATTTGCAGCCTCATTATGGCAAATGTTTACACTTTGAATAATCGACTATAATTGAAAATGAAATTTCAATCGACAGCTCTGACCAACCATTATTATAATTATAATACACGCCGGCGCGTGAAAAATCATTTCGTGCCCGACACTCGTACCGTAAATGCTAAATCGGCCTTGGAATAGCCGTGCCGGCATCCCTCGATCACTCGTTAAAATTTGCTTTTGCCTGCGACTCGTCGTCGAGCGTGACGCTACGACGCGCTCGTCAAGACCCTCGTGACACCAGCTTCCATTGTGCCCGCAATGGCCATGCCACGGCCCTCCTCGCTGGGCCTCCGGTATTTAGCAACGAACGACCCACGTCCTTTCCCGGAAAATTCGTTAAAGGGCGGCCTCGCTCGAGCGTCAAGTGCCAGGCTGTCCAACAACAATTACAGGATGACGGAGGAGGAGGAGGAGGAGGAGGAGAAGGAGGAGGAGGGGAGAAGTCAGATCGCTTCGGTACCACCTTGCTCCGCGCCGTCGCACAGCCTTGACCTTGCGCCGCTCTCTTTTACTCCTCGGGACGATGCTTAGCTACGAACGCGATGCTATTGCGCGGTAAAGGAACGTCGTAAGCCCTGGGAAGTGGGTTTCGTCCGCCACTTCCAAAAGGAATTTCCCGCCGCATTGCGACTACAGCAGCACCAATGGCGAACACAGCCCCTCTTGACTCGCGCTCCCTGGCCTTATCCCACGAGCCATAAGGTATTAACATAAGGTCTGGTTCTTAGGATGAGATGGAATCTGAGCTTCCATGTTTCCGATCGACGACCATAGTTTCGTGTTCGTGCACGAACGGCTCTTCCGGGCCACGTAATCCGATTCATTGTACGAGATTGTCAGCCAACCTTTACTTTCTTCACCACCACCACCACCACCACCACCACCACCACCACCACATCCAATTTAATTATAATCTACTCGTGATTTTTCAATATCTGTTATTTCGTTGATTATTTATTGGTTTGACGCAAGGAATCTTGTTAAGAGTTCGTCGCTTTTGTATAAGACCGAGAAAAAAATATCCCGCCTATCTTGTGATAATCTCGCATCACCATCTACGTCTGTATTACAATAAAATTTACGTATTCTTCTTGTAAATTACTATTTGCTTGTACTTAAAAAACTATTTGCATACAATTGAGAGTAAATGCGCGTTTTGAGCGAATCGATGACCCTTCCCTTCATTTATACAATAGAAATGCGTAAATCGCCCATAGTTTGGTCAATCTTTCGATCTTAATATGGCATTAAATTTTTTTTCTCATCGGTATTTGGCAAACTGTCCCGAGTGTCGGATCGCAAAGTTTTACTGATATATGCATTTTCGGAATCATAAATCTTTATCGCGATTGTTTAACTACGAAATGATGAGGTAGAAGAGAAATTTCGAATGGCTTATTCAAATTCACAAAAATTATAGATTATTAGCAGATAGAGACGAGTCGATAATTTTCAGCGCTTACGCTAATAAATCTGAAAGTTTATTTCAATCACTTAGATCTGCCCCTCTCCAATCGTCGCTCGATTGTTCATCGTTTTTGAAAAAAGATGCACAAGTTATTGTCTTGGATATCAACTTTTTATTTATCTACGATTCAACTAAATAAATAAAAATCGAAAATTCATATGACATTTTCATAACCATTATTACGAAGAGAAGCCAGTAGAAGTAGTAGTAGTAGTAGTAGTAAAAATAATAATCATCGTCGTAATAATAATAAAGGGCAGGAAATTGATGGGATAGAAGCTTTGGCATGATTTTACAATTGCATGACTTTTCGAGGCGTGTGCGTAGAGAAATCCCGTCGTTCGGGCATTGCTGTCGCGATAAGGCAGAATGGCGATGCTGCGATCGTAAAATGCCGAAGCTCGTCGTTTCTCGCGACAAGCATCGATGTTAAATCGATCGCTAGCGCGCATCGGCCTACTCGGCCCACCCATTGCCAAAGTAAACGTAATCCCCGTTCGCGTGCACCTACGCCCAGCCGAGACGCCGACGCCATAATGAACTTGTCTCGTTTTGAATTGCAGAGGAGAGCCGCGACGAGTCCCACAAGCATTAGCGAGCAGCGAAGATAAGGATGAGGAAGGTGCTGCGAGAGCTCCCGCAGCCAAGCGGCGCCGGCGACGAGGAGCCGGGGACCGCGGAGCCTCTGAAGAACGGTGGCTCGCCCCCCGGCCAGGCCATCCTCGAGGAGATCTTCTACATATCGTCCAAGCGCAACACCCTCTACAGGGTGCGGCTCACCGAGCGCGGCCTCACCCTCCGCAAGGAGAGCAACTGCGGCCCCAGCAAAACCGAGACCATCCTCGTGGACGACATCGTCGGCTGCAGGTGGGCTTCGAGCCTCGAGCCTCGTGCGCTCGAGGTCGCGCGATGAGGGACGGTAAGGGGCAGTAAGGGGCGGTAAAGGGCGGTAAGGGGCGGTAAGAACGGGGGATGGGGCGACGAGGGAGGGGGACAGAGCAGGGCCGGGCGAGGCTGCCTCATCCCCGTCGACGTATCGATCTTTCCGACCAAGAGCAATGGCACAACAGGCCTTCCTTACGTGCACTTCTGTGCCTCGAGGTCCGGATGTACCTGGAACGCGTTAGCTCGGCTTGGTCGATCTCGCACATTCTTTCGCGACTCCCTGTTCCGATAACGACGAAATCGTTCGCTCTCGGATTAGTCAATTGGCGGTTATTCGAGTCGACTTATTGAAATTCCGTCGTCGAAAGCCACTTGCCATCAAAGTCACTTGAGCAAATTGACAAATGGAAAAAGGAAAAAAATAAAATAAAAAGAAAAGAAGGGGCGGGGGAGATAAAACGCCTCGTGGTCTATACATATTCGTTTGTTCGTGCATTAGTAAACACAGGCGGTAAGATACTATTAAGCAAATATTATTACGCGTGCGTGCGTGTTTGCTTTCGTAGTGTTTGTGCCGTGTTGTAATTCTTGTTTCATTCGATAGAGCATAACACTCGACTTCAAACAGTTTTCTAAAATCAATTCTGGATTTTAGGAAATTCGGGGCGGCTTTTATTATTTGGTATTAATATAAAGGGTTTGTTTGTAAATGTTTTTTGTCATGGGGTTAATCGTAAATGGACAAAGCTCGCAAAACTTATTGGCAAAAGTTCATTATTAATTAAGATGCGGACATAATAAATATTGTGCAAAATAGCGGTTTACATAATATGCTTACATATGAAATGTTATAGAACATAAGCACGAAGTAATTTATAGTGCAACTAACTAAAGTTAATGCAATATAATTGGCTGATAATTGGATTAGTAGTGCTCTTTTAACATTTGTTTCAACACACGCACGCGCAAATGCACACGAATTACATAAAATTAGAAAATTTTGTTATAATATTCCGCATAGTGTATAAATTGTTTAACAAAACATAATGATAAGATGTAGAATGTAAATGTGCTAATAAATGAATTGTATCGTAATCGAGAGAGAGAGAGAGAGAGAGAGAGAGAGAGAGAATAAGTGCATTCTCGCCATTCAACATATAGTTAAAGATAAAAATATTCTTCGCCATCTTTATATTTACTTGCCCATACCTACCATCGCGTATTCAAGGTTTTTCCCTCTTCGTGCAAGTCTAGATTAACTAGTAGTTGCGAAACGAAAATTCGACCGTGTAAAGAAGACATAGTGGAGCACAATTTTTTTCCATTTTTTTTTTCCGGGTCAGGTTGTGTTTAATTGTCTGGATAAAACGTGCTTCGTACATGAACGAAAGCATGTTTTGGTACTAAAGATTAAATTCACTTGTGTCATCAATATTGTTTAAATTTAGATCTCGCTTCATTCACCACGAAAAGGGGGAAAAAATGATTTGGCCTATTTGCTAATTAAAGGAAGAAAAAAAGAAAAAAAAGACGAATCTGATAATATTTGCTTGCTTCGACATGATAATTATCGCCGGATTTGTGATTTATTGATTATTGTTTAGAAATAAATATACTTGGTATGCTCGATCCTTGTTTGCATCGAAATAAGAAAATTTTATCAAAAAATTTATTATTGGTTGACAATTGGTTGATAGTTTTCTTAACGTTTTCAACATCGAGTAGAAGATATTTGGTAAATAGTGAAACCAAAGATGTAGAAAAATGAAAATTAAAAACAAAATACAAACACAAAAACAAACACAAAAGCTTTACGTCCTTATAATATTGTAGCTATTGGCTAATTCAAAATCACGGTATTACATTTTCATGATCAACGGTAGCTTCAATCGCAATCTTTCCTCACGCTAATAAATTATACTGAAATATGTCTCTGGAAATTCATCGCGATCCCGCCGCCACACCCCCCGCCCCTCCCAGCCTTCTTCTCCTCGCACATCCTACCACTTACTTCTTAGTTTAACCAGCTAACATCTGCAAGTGATATTTGCGTAGGTAGAGAGTCGAAGGATCGAGATGGTCTCGTAAATTCGTTACGCTCGTCGAAGCAATCCAGCGATGGATAATAAACACGAGTCGTGATCGCGTTAAGAAGTGAGGAGAGTGAGAAAAAGTGAGAGAAAGGTCAGCGCTTGAGAAGTCGATATCCATAATTGCACAATATATTAGAAAATCTGGCGAGTGCGCTCTCGTTGACGAGTATTGAATTAATAGATCGTGACTGGAAAATGCGGTTAGCGTGTGGGCCATCGAAGGCCCGCGAAAAGACTCAGGAAAACAGTCGCGAATTGCCTCTATTTCCCATTATGGGTCCGGGGAGATTCGGGGCAATCGAGAGGCCGATCGGCATTTAAAAACAAGATCCCCTCCCACCCCTGTTGCAGGTGCATGCGCTCCAAGCGTCGGAATAACGGGAGCTGCGCGTGTCGACCGGGCGCCTCCCGGGGCCAGCCCCACCTCGTCGAGTCGACGGAACCGCTGCAGCCCCACGACGAGTACGACACCTCGGCCTATCTCTACGTTTACGCGTACACCCTGAAGCGGCCGAAGCCCGCGGGGAGGGGCACGCGCAGGCGCGAGCGCATGACCGTCACGCTGAGGTTCCGCAGCTTCGACAAGTACGAGGATAACCTGAGGGAGGCCAGCAGGTGGAGGCTAGCCATAAAGTGCCTCGTCGGCAGGCTGCCCGTGCCCAGGGCATACATGAGTCCGGCCCACCGGAACCTCCAATCTCTCCTCGGCGGTGAGCTCATGTTCGCGATGTCGTTCTCCCCCCCCCCCCCCTACCCCCAAAGCAACAACAACCCCTCCGGCCCGACCATCACCCTCACCATCGTGCTCGGCGAATCGCTCCAATTAAGTGGAGCGGAGCTTACGTCCAAAAATCCTCTAGCGCCATCGAATCGTCGGCCAAGTCGGCAGACGCATTGTTAAGATCTACGACGCAGCGCATACCGCAGCCATCACTTTTATCGTTTAACTTATTATCGTTTGCCGACAGTTGCGTCAAGACATTTATCCTTATCTATCTTTTAAACGCGTAGATTTTCACCTTGGCTGATCGAATTGCGTCTAAAGTGTGCGACATTGTCTCGAGTAATTGGGCGGCCTCTGCTTAAGGAATAATAATGGATTGTAGAGGGAAGAATTGGCTGAGCTTTTCTGCGATTGCATTGAGAGGAAGAGAGAAAAAATCCAATGACGACCGATTAGCAATAATTAGTCATAAAATCTAATGGAAATTTTTTTAAATAGCGACAGTTCGAGGAATGTTACTTCCTAGGGCATGTTTATGGTTATCTTGGAAATGTCAATTCGAGTAATTCATTCGGTTGGGCCTGAATATAAGTAAATGGCCCCACGGGCATAGAAACGCTATTTTCTTTTTTAACGGGAGAACTTTTTGTTGCGTACCTTGAGACTCGAGTAATTACAGTCGAGACTTCGCACGATAAGCTGCGACCAATTAATGGTCAATGACTAATGCTCGTCCTTGTTTCAACGCTCCATCATTAAATTACTTTTTCACGGTATTTGGAAGATTTGCAGAGATTTGGCTCGTGTTGCTTTTAAAGATTATTTTTTTTTTTTTTTTTTTTTTTTTTTTTTTTCACTACACCTTGCCTTTGGTAGTTTACTATTGTACGATCAATGGGTCGGTTATATAAATAGAGATAGAGAGAGAGATAGATAGATAGATAGATAGATAGATAGATAGATAGATAGAGAGAGAGAGAGAGAGAGAGAGAGAGAGAGAGAGAAAGAAAGAGAAATGTGATTTTCAGTAATCGAATTATATGGTATTTTCTCTAAAATGAAAAAGGCTCTGCAATTCCCGAGTACACGATGAAATTTTACCTTTCACTGTCATAATTTCATAGTGTAAGAATATTCTTTTAAATTATCACTTAGTCATTATTTTATATGGTTTTGTACTGTGAGCATTTAAGCAAATTTAAAAGGTCGTGTTTTTTTTTTTTAATCTTTTTGCCCCCACCCCATCCTCCGGATTCACGTGGCACTTATATGTAGGAACTATTTCAATAGAAATAAAGAAGAATATAAACGGAGATATTAAACTTCAATGCTTTTTTGATAAGATTTACAAATGTACGTAATTGTAAAGAATTTTCAGCACCTTCAACGCTATCGTTTGCAATTCACTATTTAGTCGTTTTTAATGTTAAAAAAGAAAAAGAAAAAACCACTTTTAATTGGCGATATTAGTATTACAAAAACGCATATTTTTTAAACACGAGAATTACTTTTGAAACAGTTTCCAAACGTATTTTAAAAATATCGTTATGGCTTATACATCGCAAGTTGCAACGTTTGAAAAATGTTGTTGTTTAAAAGTTCTACTGCTGTTTAAAACTTCCGTATATAAAAGTCAAGATCACAAGCACGGTGTACGAGAAAATAATGTTGGGTAAACAAATTTTATTTTTATTCGATACGCTTCGTTCCAACTTTCGAGACAAATTCTTTAAAGATTGATCGATAACTTGTCTATCATGAGAGAATTGAGAGAATAAAAACAACTAGAATTTAATGTCGCAAGCCTTAAGAATTAAATTTCATTTAGATCGCGTCATCGTTTCTTCATATCTATCTAATTAAATATTTTTCATTAAATTTTTCTAATAAATCATTCTCTGATATTAATTTTTTAAGTTTTTTTTTTTTTTTTTTTTTTTTTTTTCCGTAACCTTAATTAGCTTTGTGCTAGACATAGAATTTTGTTATTTATCATCAATTTTGTGCTATTTCTACCCACAACGTAACGATATAACAAAATTTCATACCAAGCGCACTTTATTATTGGAGTCAACATTATTTATTATTTATTTTTTATAATACGCAATGTTGAAATACTCTATGCCATAATAAATTTACTATTAATCTTTCGACATTGTGAAAATTGGCAGTGGTATTACATTAAATATTACTAAATATTACAACCAAGCTGTCACTTAATATTATTTACAAAGATAAACTTTCGTATTTTCAGATTCACATATTTTTTTCGATTTGGATCATCGTTCATATCTCTTTGCGTGCTTTCTTTATCTCCGAAGCATCTCTCAGTCACCGACATATATCAATAATACGATACACCCGGACATTCTCATTATTATTAATCTTAAGTCTGCTCAATAAAATTATCTAATCTATAAAATATTCCATACGCAAATACATAGTCGGTTGCAACGGCTGAGCTTTATTAAGCTTCCACGACGACTCTTTATGCCGACGACGCTTATTCGTTAAGTAGCGACGACCCAATGCATTAACGCGCAAATAAACTCCAACACTCAAGATCACGAATGCGCGCTCTACTAACTCTGCATCAAAAGCATCCGACCTAATAATAATAATAATAATAATAATAATAATAATAATAATAATGATGATGATGATGATGATGATGATGATGATGATGATGATGATGATGATGATGATGATGATGATGATGATGATGATGATGATGATGATGATGATGATGATGATGATGATGATGATGATGATGATGATGATGATGATGATGATGATGATGATGATGATGATGATGATGATGATGATGATGATGATGATGATGATGATGATGATGATGATGATGATGATGATGATGATGATGATGATGATGATGATGATGATGATGATGATGATGATGATGATGATGATGATGATGATGATGATGATGATGATGATGATGATGATGATGATGATGATGATGATGATGATGATGATGATGATGATGATGATGATGATGATGATGATGATGATGATGATGATGATGATGATGATGATGATGATGATGATGATGATGATGATGATGATGATGATGATGATGATGATGATGATGATGATGATGATGATGATGATGATGATGATGATGATGATGATGATGATGATGATGATGATGATGATGATGATGATGATGATGATGATGATGATGATGATGATGATGATGATGATGATGATGATGATGATGATGATGATGATGATGATGATGATGATGATGATGATGATGATGATGATGATGATGATGATGATGATGATGATGATGATGATGATGATGATGATGATGATGATGATGATGATGATGATGATGATGATGATGATGATGATGATGATGATGATGATGATGATGATGATGATGATGATGATGATGATGATGATGATGATGATGATGATGATGATGATGATGATGATGATGATGATGATGATGATGAACTCGAGGAGTTCGTAATGCGCCAACATACACGGCTGCCCTAATCAACCATCCCCGGGGATATTTTCGTCACTCTTAAGGCTCTTAGGGTCCCCTTCAACCTTGGCCGACAGGTGTCCTACCAAACGTTTATTTTAACATTCGCGCGGCACTCGCTCATCAGCGAGGAGCCACTGGGTGAGGGGGGGGGGGGGGGGGACAGGTGATAATGGGACGGCTGATCGTCACAAACTTGATAAGCTCCACGGCCAATGTCCAATTATACTGCAAAATACTACGTGTTGTTTCGCAATGGCATACGGAGTAGCCCATCGACGAGGAGGAGGAGGAGGCTTATCGATTTCAACAATGCCGATGCTCCTGACACACTTGCCGTATTCAAGTCGTCGACACCCTCCTCCACCCGAGGATATATATAGGAGGGACGAGCAGGGCATCCGTTAAACGGCCATTGGCGGTCGTGATCGTCAGTCGACGGCAGTCGTCGCCAGCCGACGATCCATCGACGACAAATTTCCATTCGCACTCGCACTCCCGCATTGACCTGTCGTTCTTCAACCTCCTCCAATCGCCGTCTCGCTCCCGGATTCGCGTACCTCGATCACACAGAGTAGCATCTCGTGCACTCGTAACGGATCATCGGGATCTACCGGCGGCAAGGGAACCGAGCGGAGAGGCGAGGTGACGTCGGGCCCGCTGGCTCCGTCGCGCGAATCCGCACTTTCCAAAAGTCCTTGCATTATCAATCATCTCGGCCCATTAGAATACGGCTAAAGCGAGCTGCTGGCCAATCCGCTTCCTATAGTCTAATAATGCGTGTGTCGTGGCAGCGGGTAGCGCCGAATTTACTCGCTCGAGAAGGTCGAAACACGGAGATATCCAAGGCGTTTCCAAGGCGTACCGTCGCTGAGGAGGAGGGGGGAGGAGGGGGAGGAGTGGGGGGCGAAAGGAAGAAGTACCATTGTTTAGAGGCTGCTATGTATAGACTCTACTAGAGGGGCGCTCGTCTCGTCCTTTAAACCCCCGCGGGTAAAGCGCGGTGGTGCCAAGGGCGTCGGGAGAATCGACGCTTGACGCTTCCCCGGGTCGATGGGATCGTCGACGAGTGCGCGGGGCCGCGGAGACCCGTTGCCCGTACTTTCACCGATTTTCCGGGTCAATGCGAGCCGTTCCTTGGGAAGGCGGCCGCTCGCGCGATTCCGCGCCGATAATCCGCGGTCACGAGAAACTTTCGCCCGTTTCGCGCGCCAAGCGGATCGGTGAAAGGTGATGGCTTTATCCTTCGTTGCGTCGTTGTCGTTGTCGTTGTCGTTGTCGGCGGCGGTGGCGGCGGCGGCGGCGGCGGCGGCGGCGGCGGCGGCGGCGGCGGTGCAACCCGACGGAATGCGACACGACTGACTGGACACCCCGATTAGAAAGATGATGGAATATTCAAGGAGCATTGGAATGTTTTTGTAATTAGTCTCTCATTATTCACTACGACGCCAATTGACTTTTTTTAGCCAATT